AATAAAAAATCAAATATATGCAAGTCTAGTAAATGTTTTATAAATTTATTAGTAATTATAATCATCAATGTTTTTTTGACATAAATAAATATATGCCTACAAAATAAACATAATAATGTGATTAGTAAGATAATGTAGGACAGCCCCCTTATGGTTTCAATGCTTTATTCATTAATACATATTCGTGAATACATCGAAAGTAACAATATGAGGGTTGTCCCAGAAATACGCGAACATTTTCAATATCTTTTGTTTCACTAATACTATAAAGTTAAAAATTTACATACATCATTATCAACATTTTTTTATAATGCATAAAAATTTCAATGAAATATCTCTGTAAATAACAATTACCTCTCAGGTAAACGCATCTTACAAATCAGTTGTTGGTGCAACACTGACGTCAAAATGTAGCTCGTGGCGTTTGTGAATTTGTTCTGGAAATGTGCTTCTGATAAAATTCGTTTAAGGGTGAATTCAAAAAAATGACCACCAAACTGAATTTTTTTGGCAAAATTCAACTATTTATAACATATTTTTCACTTATATCATCATATTGCAAATGCATTCTAGTTTAAAATCCTGAAGTGGCAATAGAATAGACAATTGGATTAAAAAGTTTCAGAATTTTTATTGGTAAAATTTCTTTTGAAAAAAGAAAATATCATTACACATTAAAAGACTTTCTAAAATACATAATCACAAGAAATTATAGTTTTTTATGCTTCAAAATGGTAAAAGGGGTATAAATGATTAAATCTAGACCTTGAATGAGTATCTTCTCTTGTACATGTGACAAAAAATTGGCTTTTTGATTGTTATTTTACATTATTTTTTCAATTCTGGTTTGAAAAGTTTTAATATGAAAAAAATATGAAGCAATTAAATTCCCCAAAATTCACTTTTTTGTCCGTTCAAGTCAATTCTTTAAATCTAAGCCAAAAAAGAATTCTTATATACGAGTTCTCTTACGAAGAATACTAGATTTTGAAGTGAGCCTATTTTACATTATTGTGTTGCACTCCTGACATCTGATATGTATTTTATTTAACGTTATTTTAAAAATTATAACACACAATAACCCATTCTTAATTTGTAAATCAATTTGTCGTGTTGATATTTTTCATCGTTTACAGCAGTTTTTTCCTATTTTGAAGACCTTAAGACATGATTATTTGCAAAGTGTAATATATATAGATTGTATTTAAAATATATGTGAAATGATGAAAACTATTCCCTGAATGGACTGTAAAATTTCTGTAATTTGTTGATAGACATAGTGTTTTGAACATCAAATAGTACCAAGCATTTTTTTTTTCAACTTAATTTTTAGTCAAGATAGTTAAAAAGCATCGGTAATTATGAAGCAGTTTTGTTGCACTCCTGACTGCAGTAAAGTTTAAAATTAAAACCATAGAACACAGAAATTCATAAAGTGTTGGCAACATCAAGTGGTAATGAAATTGTGCAATACTTATAGTCCAATACTTCATAATTAAAACAGATGAAAGTATTTAAAATTCGCATTTTATCTGGAATTATACCCTATTTTATGCCAAAAAACTAGCTTAAATGTTTATTTAGAAGATAAAATATATTTTAAAGCATATTTTCCTTTAGAAGACAAACACAGTAACTCAACAGAAAAATTCTACTCATCATTTTTTCTTTATTTTTATTTTTATTGGATGATTTATAATTCTAACATATTTGTTGCACTCCTGACCAAAAGCATTGGGGCCTTTAAAGTAGAATTGTGAAGTGAAAATTACATAAGAACTTGTTCTGTTGTTTCAGTGAAGTTGAGGAGGAATTACTCGAATTTTATGACAATGTTTTAGTGTGTTTATTTTTAACGTTCATTAAAAAATCACAAAAAAGATAAAAACACATCTGAATTGATAAAATTGAAAAAGGAAGGATTTTAATAATAAAACTGTCAATAACTTAGCATTAAATTATACAAAAAGATCATTATTAATTAATGAATACTTCTAAGCATGAATAGAAGTCTTTTCGTCACACAACTTGAATCTTTAAAAAAAATGTGTTGCACTCCTGACCATAGAAATATGGATCTGAAGCACAGACAGATCCTGTAATTGATAAATCTATTTGGTAAAAATGTTCTTTGTGTCTTTCTTTTCCAAAATAAAAATCAGAAAATCATATAATGATAATAGTTTTTTCATGCTTGGGAGCAAAACATCAAATGTTGCACTCCTGACATTTTTGGGTATGCACATATACTTGACTCTCATTAACGCTGCTTGTGATTTATATAACATTTTTAAGTTCTAAAATGTATATCAGTTATTATTTTACACTTCCAAAATTCTTTTTGTCTTAATTTTCTATCAGAATTTTACAATTGATGTTTTTTTGGCAACACTACATTTTTTCTGTTGCACTCCTGACATGGTATAACATTTTTTTAAACATCAGCCATGACCACAACCTGATTAAACAAAAGTTATGACAGTCCACATTTGAAGCTCAATACTTTGAATATTGTCAAGAAAGTCTTTATTTTCAACATGAAGCATTATTTTTTATTTCACAGATCTCCAAAAAATATTGAAATTTCAAAATGTCACAAAAAGGTGTTGCACTCCTGACAATTTTAGCATCATTTTTGGGCATAACTTTTTTGTTAATTGAGATATCAACGAGATATTTGGCAGGTATTTAGACACTATCTAAAGACATATGCTGAGACATAGAAATCTATTTTCATTGCCTGTGTTTTTAGTGTGGGTTGATAAATATGCGTTTGGTCATTTTTTTTTAATTTACCCTTAAGCAAAATTCGGCACTGTATCTAAATTTCTTTATTTACCAAGTTATACATCTCAAATACTAGTGATACCAAAAGATTTTCGCATTGTTGAACGGCGGCCTTCACTTAGGCCTATGACGTCCCGCTCTTGACTTTCAGTTTGTCTTTGTTTTTGTTGGCCTACAAAACGCCTCTTCTATCGGATAACCAGTCAAGCCATCCTTAAGCTCTTCAACTAGTGATTGGCCTGTGTCCGAAATTTATGTGTTTGTTTTTTCATCGTTATTATCTCTTTTATCGTATGGACAGGAGTCATATCCCACTCAACAGTACTGCTTAAGAATTTCGTGCTCCATATCATCGCCAAACGTCACCATTTTGGACAATATCTAATGAAAAGTGTTTTGGCATATAACGTCATACATGTATATATGTCAATAATGAAGTCAAATTAATGATTTCTTCTACACGAGTACACTAGATTAAAGAGTTTTTATGGAGGTAAGTTTTGTGACATTATATTTCCGTACAGCCTGGTAATAAAGAAAACTTCATTGACAATGCTACATTTAAAAGTAAATAAAAAAAATGCCCTGCGCCGACCACCGACATTTAACACACTTTAAATGCTGTTGTTATATACTTATGACATCATAAGCCTAAAATATTTTGTCAAAGTACCGAAAATATCATTTATCAACAATCTGCAAAAATTATTACTTTTGGTTGAATAGTTTCTGAAATATTCAAAAAGGTTGCGTTTTTCTTGGACAACCCTCGTATTATATAGGTGACACTGGCTATGTAAAATCCGTAAATGTTTGATGTTTCATCACCATGTGGTTAACATAGGATCCGCCACACAGACATGAACATCGACACTCTTGACACCCCAACCCCCACCGCCCCCTTCACTCAAAAAATATAAAAAGTGAATCATAACAGAATATCAGATGAAATGTTAAAATCAGAAGAACATATCTAACTTCTTATTGTTAATAAAGATGTTATATCATTTTTGCTTCATTGCGGACAATCTGCATAAGCTTAGTCACAAAGTGAAATGAAAGGAGGTTGGTGTCAACCAAGTAAAATATCGGAATTTTACAAGCAAAAAAGAGATCTGACAATCTAGCTAGGAGCAATATCCATTATTTTCTGGAAATATTTATTACTCAGATCAAGAAAGCCGGAAGATGGGGCACAAAGATGCTCTTGCCCCTCTCCCTCCTGAAAAGTGGTGGTCGGGACATTATTCACTAAGATTAAGCCTATGATCTAACTGTTTATGTCTCCCCACCCCCATCCCCTTCTTCAAAACATTTCTGAATCTCAAAAATAATATATGTAAAACACTTATCCCATACGATAGCATATACATTCTACAGGTGCTGTCTCTGAATCGAAAGTGACGTGACCTTTTATTAGAAATCCCTCTCCCGCGAAGTTAGTTCAATATTTTCCCACAGGTTTAATTTGAAGATTATAAACAGTTGTAAAGAAATCCAGACTCCCATGAAATGCGTCCGGTCTGTCGGATGTAACTTTGTTAATACATAATGTTTGGTAATTTAGTAGGAGTGCTAGTTTTTTTTTCTGTTTCCTTTGTTTTTATGACTTCTGAACTTTTTTTCTTTGTCCTGAGAAAGGAACAGGGCGTCCCGAAAATTTGACAATTTCTATTGTTCGTGTAGTTGGTCATTTTTAGTGCTTTATATAAATTTCAATCTTTGACCTTATATCTATTTAGAAGATCGGACACTTAGGATATACAGTGTTGATGGTTTGTTTTAGTGCTTTCTATATATATATATATATATATATATATATATATATATATATATATATATATATATATATATATATATATATATAGTTACATATCGAATTTTTACCATATCGTAATGATTAAATCTCTTGCTTTGAACAATATCTTCAAATCAATATTTTTTAAGTCAAGATATAACTTATAGCAATAAAATCAATCAAATAAAAGAAGATGCCTTCATTATTTTCAAACACCTAGATACAATTCAAAATATATGTATAAATAAGGAGTTAAAGCCACTTTATATATAAATATATATGTATATATAAATATATATATATATAAGACAATAACAAATAAAACGATGAAAAATTATAACACAGCAAGCGTAGAGACCTGTACGCTTCCGTATCGTAGTCCCTTATCCCATGAGTTTTGTCTTTTTTATTTCAGACATGTCAGACAGAGAAGTTACTTACGACAGTTATCTTGCTGTAAGTTTTAAATTTAGATAAATCATTAGTATTGTCGAAATTCTGATGCTGATATCTTTCCTTTACTGCCAATAAGAATCAAATGTTGTTCAATGTGTATTTCAGCTGGATCGGTTGCTCCATTGTCAGGAACTCGAGAGCGAAAAGGCTGGAGGAAAAGTTCATGACGAGCACCTTTTCATTATTGTTCACCAAGGTTTATCTGCAAAATTTCCAATTTTTTATTCAGAGATATGCTGAAAACAATATATATGTAATGATTATCTCACATGGATTTTAAGAATTTTAATGTTAGTAATTTCATGCATTATTGAGTATAAGATCCCAATTAATGGGTTAAAAGAGTCGAGTATTTGATTTGCAATTAGGTGAAGAAATGACAGAATCTCATTAAAAGTAGTGAACAAGTATGGTATTGGTATGAACCAAAATTTAAAAAAATGTAAATCTTTTAATTTTTTGCAGCATTCGAGCTTTGGTTTAAACAAATCCGTGAAGATCTCCATTCTATTATAGAGACATTTCAAAAATCTGTAAGTTTACTCCTTTCATAAAGCAATAATATGATCCAATCCAAGTTTAGTCTTAATTGAAATACACGAGTTGTTATTAATCCCTAGATAATTTCTTTTGATTTTTTTCCCGTAAAATTAAATGTCAAGTACATAGTTTAAGAAATATAATGTAAAAGATTTCGCTTTATGTCTACTGAAAAGTAGAGTGAAGATAGTCAAATTAAGGCATGCAAACGGTGGTCAAAGCCAAGTTCAGATTCTGTTTTTTATCATTTGGACTAATTCAGAATGTTAAATCCATAGGATTTTGAGGACAGGCGACATTGTGCTGGAATAACATCAAAACTAGGACGAGTCATTCTTATTCAGAAGGTACTAAGCCTAACTTTATATCTTAACATATTTGAGATGATTTATTTAAGAAATAAATAACAAGTTTAAAAACTTCAATGGGAATTGAAGTGAGTCGGTCACGTGATCAAATCCTGTGAAGGCCGAAGGCCTTCTCAGAAGATTTGATCACGTACCGACCCACTTCAATTCCCATTGAAGTTTTTAAACTTGTTATTTATTACTTATATATACATTTGAGACGGACAATCGAATGTAATCGAATATAAATATTGCACTAACTGCACGTCGTAGATTTTGACTAATTACGCTAGATGTAAATCGGCTTGAAAAGCGGTTACGCTTCAAATTCATCTGGCAAAGGATTCTGCTTTGAAGGAAATATTCTGTGAAAGGCTACTTGTGATCAATTATAGTGAGCATATTGGTGTCTTGGAATTTTTGTATTCATGAGAACCCATATTCGATGTTTAAAAACACAAGAAACACGTCCGATGTTTGATAATAAAAAGTTGGAGGAATTGCGGTCGGAAAGGGATGGATGGAGACACTTGTCCGGACCAGATAACTTGAAATCAAGTACAAAATTTGATCAAAAACATAAAATCTACGATTTCAGTAAGGCATATTTATTAATTTATGATGTTGACATGGAGACACTGGCGACAGCTTACATTGTTCAGACAACGTCACAACGATCTCGATAATGGAGGTGTGCCTACCGAACTTCCAAAGTGCAGTGTTTGTCAGCTGTTTGTGGCGTGATTGCATTACATTGATATTTTTCAACAGATTTTCAAATTTATTGTGAGTAAAGTTTAATGAAAAAAAATTATAGCATTCAGAGGTCTGCGAGAAAAATAAGGGTAAACGTAGAGACTATGCAGCTCAGACATGAAACTTATAACACGTAGTTTTCTATTCTCTATGTAAAATCGATGAAGAACTGTATTAAATACTCGTTTACATTGTACATAAAATGATTATTATTTTACTTGCGTATTTTGTACAATTTTATGCATGAAAAACATGCTATATTGCTTAGTGGAGTAAGTCTTTTTATGTAGATATTACTGCGTTGTGTGATTAGGTCACGTAATGACCTATGACCTTCGAAAAACTTCATACAGGTATGAAGATATTTACTCTCTGCATGTTTATATAATAGAGAGATACCACAAATGTATATATTATAATTTATTATCTGAGATCAATATTCTGGTAAACAGTGCATGATCCTAGTGGCATGTTTCAGTCTCAAAATATTTTCTAAGGGTTAACAAGGCAGCCAATGCCAATCTAAAGCTTATTTACGTTGAAATTTAAAATAGTTGTTTTAACATGCAAGGAGAAGTAATTCATTGAAATTCTTTTTAAATTGACAAATTATGCACAGATCTGACCGCTTACTTGCAAAATGCCACTTAAGTATGTCAAAATAAAGCAAAATGACATGTACGAGGGGGTATCAAAAAGTTCGTGGACTAGCGCCATAAAATTAAAACCGCTTTAGGTACATTAATGAATTTTTAAAATATTTAGTTAGCATCATCTTTTCTATCTAAAGAATAAACCATAAATCATAAATTTTATTTTTTAATAAATTAGTAATGTTTTTGTAAGCAATGGTATGTCCAGGCGGCGCAACCTCGAATATGACGTTTTTCGACCTGAGTATTACTGAGAAAAACTATTTTGTTATGAACATTAATTTTGACATCCAAAAATCCCGTTAATTCATAATCAATGGGACACTATTGTTCCGTAAAATATGCATTTTTTACTTCATTCTGTAAGTTCTATGAAATTTTATCGTAAATTTTGTTTGGAGTGTCCAAACAATTAAGGGCTTGAAAATGACGTCAAAAAGGGAGAGGGGTTTCTTTTTCCAACATTCTACAAAGTTTTGTCCCTAAAAAAAACTGGTATAGGCCTATGAAATCTTTAAACTGGCTACAGAGAAATAAAATGCATCTAGAGTACTTGTCTTTTTAATGCCAAAATGGATTCAGCGAGAAAAGGGATGCACAGTTAATGTCGATTTGTAGTCAATGTGTGAAAAGTCAATCACGTCAAAAAATGAAGTTGATCATGTGTGATAGATTATGAACTTCAAAAAGCAAAATATGCTGGCATAATCAAGCGAGGATCTCTCCTTATGTATAAATCCATTTGCAATATTATATGCGGGACGGGTTTAAGTCCTTGCTCAACTCCAGGGAATCTCATCAAGGTAAGAGTATGAGGTAGAAGAATCGGAAATTGAATAACAACGACGTCCGACGGACGTCATGAAACTAAACGGAGACAGCGCCGGGTGATCATATAATGTCGTTTTCATTTTATAATAATTTGGCAAATAATGAACGTATCAAGCTAAAATTTTCAAAATTTCTTTATTTTTTGTTGTTTTATGTTCCTTATAAATTTTGAAAGCACAGACTACATAGTACTAATTTTATCGACTCAGTCCACGAACTTTTTGATAACCCCTCGTACATGAGAGATAATCACATTTTCAACTAATATACGTCGATATGCGATGTTTGTATGTAAACATGCAATGTATCTACTCCTACATAAATTGAATAAACAAGCCAATCATTTCAAAAATTATTTTAGGACCTTTAATTACTCATTTGAAAAGGGCCAAAACTTAGGGAACCCCAAAATTCCAACTCGAATCATAATGTCATAAACATTATGAATTCTTTGGAAGATTACGCCAGGCGATAGGCCAGACTTGAAAAAGAAGACATTGACACTTCGTCAGAATGGATTAAATGTATCAGATGTAGTATAAAATCTTTAATTAAGCGATTTAGGGGCAATATGAAAACCATTTATCCTTCAGTGTTCAATAATTCAAAACTGAAAGAAAAGAATTAGATAGACTGCACGATTGATATGTATTGGTCCTAGCTGACAAAGCAGGTAACGACATTGTCTTTGTTTGTAAGGCTCATTATTTTAACTGTATTTTAGAAAAAAAAAGGGATTTAATTCTACAAGTGACAATCCAACTCATACCCATAGCTCCCTTTCTAAGGAGGAAATTCTTCAAAATCATATGTCAGTTTTGAATAGTTTTAATATTATCAACAAGAAAACTGAATCTGAATTACCATATTTATTTTGGATTCCGAAACTTCATAAAAATCCTTACAAACAAAGATACATAGCGAATTGAAGTAAATGTTCTACCAAGCCTCTTTCATTACTCCTCATTAAAATATTAACAGCAGTGAGGGAGAAACTTCAGGAGTACTGAGAACGAGAAGTGGTGTAAATCAGATGTGGATACTTAAAAATTCCAAGTAACTTTTGGAAAATTTGAAATCACAAAATGTTACTAAAATCAATAGCATAAAAATTTACGACTTTTCAACTCTATATACAACCATTCCCTACAATAAGTAAAAGTCCAGGCTTAATGACATCATTGACAGTTGCTTTTTGAATAAAAATCGTAAGTAGATATACTTACATTGTCATTGGTCATTTGCAAATTTATTTTGTTAAAAAAAACATTCTGATTGTACACAGAAGTACTCTGAAGTTGATATTAAAAAGATGCTTGAGCTTCTGATTGACAATATCTATGTGGTTTTCGAACACCAGGTCTTCCAACAATCTGTTGGAATTTCCATGGGTACCATTTGCGCCCATTTGTTAGCAGACCAATTTTCGTATTCATATAATCCCACCTCTGATGTTTTTGGAAGTCCGTGTTTGCTCTGCTCCCGATTTGTATTGTTTTGATGGACTCTGGGCTTGAATAATGCTTGTTATCTCCATATTTCATTTTACTGGATTTTTGAATGATAAACACTAAAGAAATGCACGATTGGAAAATGAATATATAAATGAAATGAGCTTCGAAAATCAGATACGAAAAACAACTTGCCTATAAAGGACTGATACTGACACCATTTGGGACAGAAGAAGGACATCATATTAATAGCTCACCTGAGCCAAATGCTCTAGTGAGCCTTTTACTCATCAAAATTGCCGTAACGGTTGTTGTCATCGTTAATATTTCCTAATTTTCTCTTCCTCAGAACCACAATGCCAGTTTCAACCAAACTTGACACAAAGCATTGTTTGGTGAAGGTAATTCAGGTTTGTTCTAATAAAATGCCACATCCTGTTTCAATGGGAGAAGAATTAGTATGGTCAATTGGCAACAGAACTTTATTTCCATTATAAGTTTCGTAGAAGATTATGCCAAACATTGGGCTAAATATGAGAAGGATGACTCGAAAACTTTGTCAGAATGGCTGAAGTGTTTTAGAAATATATATTAAAGATTTGTGTTAGAAAATTAAAAGGCAAAATGCGAACCATCTACCCTTTCGTTTTTACTAAACCGGAAGTGATGAAAGAGTTAGAGCAACTACACGAAAAGTATGTTATGGTTTCAGCAGAAAAGGCTGGTAACAATATCATCTTTGTTTGTAAGGCTCCTTATTAGAATTGTATTTTGGAAGAATTTAGTTTTAATTCAACGTCTGAAAATCCTACACATTCTCGCAGTTCACTTTTCAAAGAAGAAATTCTTCAAAATCATATTTCAGTGTTTAATACTTTTAATATACCAGTCAACCAAGCTGAGTTCGATCCACCCAACCTATACTGGATTCCTAAACTTCATAAAACCCCTTAAAAACAAAGATACATTGCTGGATCCAGCAAATGTTCTACCAAGCTAGTATCTTTACTTCTTACAAAAATAGTAATTCTTGTAAAGGAGAAACTTCAAATATACTGTGCTACAGCTTATTCTAGAAGTGGCATAAATCAGACGTGGATCCTCAAAAATTCGAAAGAACTTAAAATCTTGAAATAAAGGGTTGGGCCGATATCAGAGATCCTGGTTTTACATACTGCATGGAAGCAGGTAAAACATCTCCAGAACATCAGGAACACGTTAATTTTTTTAATATTGAAGCATCAATATGTTGATGGATTCAATTTTGATTAAATTATAGCTCTTTTAGGGCTACATTTTTCGTCCACAACTTTGAGTCAAAATTTTCAAGAAATTAAAAAGGAAAAAAAAACAACTAGAGGTCTTCCGTTCCTTCTCTATCATTAGAGAAGTTGCTTCCTCACTAAATAACATTTGTTATGTTGTGAATTCCCTGTAACACCTTCATACATAAAATATAATTAAACCTTTATATTGTGAACATATCGCAAAACCGGACTGGAAAAAATACGAGTATTCATTTTAGGGGTCTTAAGGGGTCCAAAAAGTCTCTGTGTGAAATTTTCAAAACTTTGATATTCTCACACTTAATTATACTATATATATATATATATATATATATATATATATATATATATATATATATATATATATATATATATATATATATATATATATATATATATATATAGTCAAATTACCGATGTATTACGATAAAGCAGTTTTTTTACATACTGTTTCGAGTAGTTTTATTTTGTAAATACACTGTACTCGTATATTATTAATCAATTATACCTTTATGAGCTAAACTGGTTGAGCTCTTAATTTTGACGGATTTTGCTCTGAACTAAACTTCGTTGAAGTTTAATTTTTTTTAACTGAAATTGCTATATGTTATTCAATTAATAATCAATGAGATAATGTTAAATTCTACTTTCAAAATATTAATATCTGGCAAATCTCTAATTTGTGATTGAATTACACAGGTACCTAGCTACATATTCTAGCATGTATACCTCGTTTTCTCAAATTACAATTGCATGAATGCACATTAATTAGTGCAAAATTCAACAACATACTCTTTATGAAGGAGTTAAAAGACATGCTGTTATTGTTACGTCAAACACCGCTGCTCTGACGTCTAAGAACATAAACTCCCTAAAGATAAAATCTTATATTTGAGCCCCCAAAATGTTAGAAAAAAATCAAACATTTAGGGGATTTGCTCCAGGTAGCCTGCGTAAAAATATAGAAAAATAAAAAAGTTCAAAATAATACCTCTTTTAATCACTTCTTGTGACGAGCAGAAGTAGCGATGATACACGAAATGATTTGATCACAGAATTACAATCCACATTCTATTATGCCTGAAAGCTTCAGACTCTTACCCTAAACAGTTTCTGAGAACATTCACTGACAAGATTTTTAGCGAAAAAAAAAAATGAAAAAATCATGAAAACTCAGGGACATATGTAGTGTCACTTTTGTGTATCTTGATTTCTAACAAGGAAAAATGTAACATGTTAAGCGGTAAGCCAACATACTTCTTTTGCATATCAACATACTTAACGACGACGGACCTAATTAATTTCTGCAGTAGATTTTTTATTCAAATTTTAATATGAGGTAAAGTGACTTTTGGTGAGTGAAATCAATAAAAAAATCATATGGTCATCGATGTAGATTTCTAATGGGGAGCGTTTCAAAAGTTGGTGATGGAAATCGATAATTACTATAGGAAGAAATGGGGAATTGCCGGTGTATTGTATAAGAGTGATCACTGAAAAAAATTCTGCAATAGAATTTTTATTCATATAAAAGGACAATGTTAACAAGACAATTTACCAGCAAATTATGCCAAAAAATAAATGAGTCATCTGCTTAGATTTTTCAGGGGAGCATGTCAAACTCAGGTGTAGGGCAAATTTTGGGGGAAATTTTCAAAGAAAATACCTTGGCCAAATAAATCATTTATTTATAAATTCAACAAATGAATACAAAATATTTACAATATTTTTGAGTGAATATCTTTAAAAGAATTAAAAATGAATATTTTTTTAATCTTTTTTATCTTTTGCTATATATAATTAAGTCAATTTGATTCAAGGCATATGTGCAGTTTTCTGCGCAGTGGCTCGAAATTTTGAATTAGGTCCGTCGTCCTTAAACTACTTATCAACATTAATAAGTTTTCTGCAAAAATAAATAATAATATAAAAAAATATATTACTTGTAAACATGATGTGTCTCTTGTCAATAAGATACCAAATCTAAGAACATTTCTTTTGTTAGAGAAATCATAAGTTTATTGTCTACAAAGATCAATTACATGTCAATGTCCCTAGATACTTGTAAACATACATTGAACATTAATTAATATATATATGATGCATGCTGTCATTATCGAATTGACCACACAATCTAGGTTCAATTTGTCCTTTTCAAGTTAATATATAACTGTTATGTTGCATGTTAACCTAGCTAATTCCTTTGAAATATCGCATCCAGTTAGGGACAGAAATAAGCCACCATTCATGATAGTAGGGTATTCGTATCCGTAGCTTATTATATGGTATTAATATAAAACTTTCTGGACGACTAAAGTCATCCATTTTGCATTTACTTCCTCATTTAATTTTTTTTATACCTTGACAGTCCCTCCCCCCACAAAAAAATTGGATAAAAAGAAAAACAAACTTCAAAGCTAAAAATGGGAAACACTCTTATTCGTTCTAAAAAATCAGATTTGTATACAGTAGTTGTTTTTTTTTTTACATTCTTTTTGTGCATAAAAGTCTTCCTAAATTGATATTGAAAACTTGTTTGAGCTAAAACTGTTACCATAAAAAGAAAAAAAAAATTAATGCATTTTCAGTATTTGAATCGTCTTATTATCTTCTAGCTGATCATCGGTCATTTTGAAATAATGGAAACGATGCCTCCAGCGACCTTTCTTAATTTTAAGTAAGTCATGAGGATCAAGAAACTCGTTCATAATTTTTTTAATAGTATTGTATAGTTTAATGAAGTTAATTATATTTCCATGTAGCCTTCATCGATTGTTAAAATGTAAAAGAAAATATCAGTTTACCATACTTCAATTAAACCTACCTGTTTAAAACAATTCCTATCAGCCAGTATAATAGAGCTATATTATGAATAAATGTTTTCTGTCTATTGTTGTTTGTTTAATGTCTCTTCGAGAATTTTTCACTAATATTGAGAAGCCGACACTTGCCGATGGTGGCCTGCAAGTTTAGGCCTGTACACGGCACTTACAGCTTTTGATCAATGTAGGATCATTTTTATGCCATGCAGCAACCACTGCGACACGGGACGTCGGTTTATACGGTGTCATCCGCAGGACTGGTCTCCACGTCCCGCAGTGGATTCGAACCCGTGACGTAAGGATCAGCTCCTTACTTCACGACTCTAGAGCAGACGCTTTTACCACTGCGCCAAGCTTGTGACTCTAAGTCTATAGCATATCAACTAAATTCAGTTCATATTCCTTTTTTTATTTTTTAAAGAAATAAAATTTCAAATAAATTCAGTTTATTCTTTTCTGCTTTTGAAGAAAATACTTGCGAAGTGGATCTGGATTTCAAAGCTTGCAGTTTCGTCTAATTGAAAATACCATCGGTCTTCAGAGGGTAAGTTTATTTCATAGCAGATTATACTTTGCTTTTCCTTTAGAATACGCCTATATATTTAAAACTCCTTGTAGGGGACTAGGAAATCACACAAAGAAGGCAAGGACTATACAGATGCATTTGACGAGAAACAAAAGAAAGAGGCACTGAAATCAGAGAAAGGACCCTGTCTGTTTACTGTCGTAGAGGTGACTAATATTCAATTGATATAAAACTGTGGTACCTTTCCTAAACAGGAATGAACATTATATATCTTGTTCTTCCTGGTGCAATAAATGCTCGGAAATGTTAAAGCATGCCCGTGATAAACACGTAACTAATGTTGTTATGATTACAGCGTTTTCATGGAACATACTTTGGTAAATCAAAACTTTTAACAAAGAAAAATATCAAAACTTTAAAAGGTAAATCTAGAAGTGAAGTTCCATAGGTTTAAAGATTGCGCTATACCTTTTCCCGTCGCTTGTGCAAGCAGTGAACAGCATGAAGTTAACTATCAAAAGTAACATATTTGCCCTTTTGTAATGCTTTAATCCATTACCCAATCTTAAATTTTTTATTCTGCAGCTACAATAAAGGCATAAGCCAAAAGGAAAAAAAAACCCTTTCTACGTCATAGATGATCTTGTAAAAATTAAAAGAAAAAAATATTCCTATTCATTAAATAATACTAGAAGCAATAGTATATATTCTCTCCAACGCACTCCATGAAAATTATTGCATCATAGTAAGAAAAATATCTTGTAGAAACAATTCCTTAGAAATTTAATTTTGATTCGGTGTTACATTATTTATTCTTATTTTGAGCAAGATTAAAATTCGCTAGAGAATATTGACATTTTGGTAGCAATATCAACTAAACGACAAAAGGCATATGTATATTAAGAAATAAGTAATATATACATGCATTTTGTTACAGAATTATCAAACTTTAATTTAATTTGCTAAATTTTCCAGATCAAAGCCAAGCGTTATACATTTAGGTGTGCTGACTTGGAAACATCAGTTTTATTGTTTTTCTGTGATTCCCAGTAATTCTTAATATCTAAAAATAGAACTATAAGTAAATTCAGAGGAATTGCTTTTATTTTTTTGTGACAAAAATACGCATAAATATCTACATTGATACATGTACGATGGAGTACCAGCACTTGGTATGTGAGTCATAAAGAAGATGAGTGCCTTGAATTGAAATCTCTTAACTCCCTTGTATATTATGGAAACAACAAAGCTTATTTTCTTATAGAGTTGGCTGGAAAACGTGTTTAAAAAGTATGTCAATGACAGGAAAATCTATATTGACGAGTTACACAAAATGGTTGTTACGTGGTGGCAGGTAATTCAAATACGTTATAAATGAAATTATAGAGAAATATATCAAATAAACTTCATTATTTATATTGTCATGTTTTCATTTTCCAGGATGCCAAGGATCATTGCGACAGGGTAATGATATCCCTTCAAAGCAATTTTTACCCTATTGTAACATGAGATAAAAATCAAAAGCAAATACATATTTAGAAATAATAATTATTAAATTTTATCACTCATGCAAATAAGGAGGCCTTTATGGAGATTTTGGATGAGACTAAATACAAAGACAGTGGTATGTAAAACACCAGAGAACAAAACTGCTTTTTCTTTATCTTGCTCGATTTTTTAAAAGAACGATGATCAAACAAGCTCATAGACTGAAGTGCATTTACCTGAATTGCATGCATTTTCTGTTAAAAAGGCAGACGATTCAGTTATGAAGCATTTCACGGAGCCTTGCTGATTTCACTACACCAAGAGGAACCTGAGTTTCAAAAAGGATATGAAATAATCAAACTCGTGATGGATGTTGACGCTTTAGTCTCCAAATGGCGTCGTAAGTGCTTTTAGCTCACCTGATCCGAAGGCTCAAGTGAGTTTTTCTGATTAAAGAGTGTCTGGCGTCTGCCTGTGGTCTGTCATCTATCGTGTATTGTCTGTAGTCTGTAAACTTTTCATTTTTCGACTTCTCTTCAAGACACCCTGTTCCATTTTCAACCAATCTTGCCAAAAAAAGCATCCTTTGGTGAAGGGAATTGAAGTTCTTTCGCATGAAGTACCACGCCATCTTTCAAGGGGAGATAATTAAGAATTCCTGAAAATGTGGTTTTGTCTTTTTAAAATCTTCTTCTCAAGAAAAACTGAGCCAGAAAAGATGCAACTTTGTGTGAGAGCATCATTATCTACTGTAAATTCAAATTTGTTCATATCATAACCCCAAAGGGCGGGGAAGGGCCACAGCAGAGGGTCAAAGTTTGACATAGATATATATATGAAATATCTATTAAAAAAAGAAAAAAAACTTCTCAAGAACAGCAAAGCCAAAAATAATCATCCTTATACGGAGTCATCATCAAGTAAAGTACATTCAAGTATGTTCATAAAATGACCCCGGGGGTAAGCGGGGCCCAACAGGGGATCAAAGTTTTACACAGGAATATATAGGAAATATCTTTTAAAAAAAATCAACAACAAAGCCATGATTAGTCATATTCATTTGGAAGCATTCTCAGGTAGTGTAGATTCAAGTTTATTAAATTTATGGCTCCCTGGGGGTAGGGCAAGGCCACAACAGGGATCAAAGTTTAACATAGGAATATATAGGAAACAGTTTTAGAAATCTTCTCTAGAACAGCAAAGCCATGATTAGTCAAATAAATAAAGAAGCATCCTCGTGTAGTGTAGATTAAAGTTTGTTTAAACATGACCCCTGGGGGTAGAGTGGGGCCACAGATAAGTTATACATCGTATATATCTAAAACATCTTTAAATTTTTATTCCAAGAATAGCAAAGCCATGATTTGTCATGTGGAATCATGGGGGTAGTGTTGATTTATAATTGTTCAAATCATTACCCCGGGGGTTGGATGAGGCCACAACAGGGGATGAAGTTATACATAGGAATTTTCTTTCAAATATTTTTAAACAACCTTGTTCTCAAGAACAGCAAAGCCATGATCAGTCAAATTTGAATTGAATCATCCTCAGGTATCTCGCTCCTGATCCGGGGGTCGTGTGTCGATAAGAATAGGTACAGTACCAACCAGACCCAACCTGACACCAAAGCAGTCCCAGAAAGCAGTCCCCGGGACTGCTTTGGGACCGCTCTGGGACTGCTGTGGGACTGCTCTGGGACCGCTGTGGGACTGCTCTAGGACCGCTATGGGACTGCTGTGGGACTGCTGTAGAAAGCAGACCCAGCAGTCCCAGCAGTCCCTGGGACTGCTTTGTTCACTCATGCGTGAAAAAGGTTCTGAATGACATGAAAGCTCCGCCCCTTGTGTATTCTGAATTTTCCTTGATTTTCCTGAATGGTAATTTTTTTTGGCTAGTAAAACATCATATACCCTAAATTATAATGAAGAAAACTCAAAATACTCACGAAAAAAAAATGAAATGTGAAAATTACTTAACACAAATATAGGCAATGTCGAGAAAACGGTCACTCGAAAAATGTTTGATGTACCAGTAAGCATTTGAAATTGAAGAATTGTGAGCATTTGCTTATACAAAAAAAAAAAAAAAAAAAAAAAAAAAAAAAAAAAAAAAAAAAAAAAAAAAAAAAAAAAACTCATCATGTATCCATAAAAGTACAGATTATACATATTGACGAACTTCATGCTCTTAATTATTATTTCCAAATCAAATGTTATCTTTAAATCACCCGTAGCAACAAAACAAATTGACAACTTTTTTACTTTTAACAGTTTTTCAACAGATTTTTTTTCTAACTAGCACTATGATTGCAGTTTCTTCATTAAAATACATTTATATGTCATCCATGAATTATGAATTCAACAAAATCATTTTCATAAAAAATTGTTTTGACGGCTTACTTCATGTAATACATGTTATACTAACGACGAAAAATGTATTAATTTCTAATAAAATGCAATGCTTATTTTACTTTTGAAATACGTGAGTGGCATGGTGTACTCAGCTAACTTAGGAACTATCAAATCGTGCATTGCATCAACTATAAAAATTGGCGATAAATTTATCATGAGCATTAGAATATATCAAAATATTAAATTAATTTTAGGTTTATGAAAAATATTATTTAGAGAGTTAGCTTTCTTGGTTAGTAAACTACTTAGTCCTTACTGTTTCTTACCAAGAACCTGGAATAATCCATAAAATGTTTTGTAAGTTTCATTAAATAATTGATGCATTCTTCGGAATCGACTTGATATATTAAATCTGACGTGGTTTACCGTCACGTGGTTACTTTTAAAGAACAAATAGGATTAAAGAAAAATAATCTCAATTATGAAGCATATACATAATATCAAAGATACAAATCTAAAACAATTTCATGTTGTTTCGTCTGTGCACTATAGCATTATCAATATTTTTAAACTTGTAATAAACAACTGAATTATTTTTTTAAGATACCCACGTGCTTATGGTTCATCGAATGTTGGGGAAGAAGTCAGGAACAGGGGTTACTTCAGGATACGACTACCTTAAAAAGACCAATGAGTAAGAATCTATTTAAAAAACATAATGAAGTTCTTTCGTTTAACAAAATGAACATTTTTTAGAGAAAATGAATCGGAACTTTAAAAGAAATCAAACAATTTACTCTAGTTTCGGAAAATGATGAATATATTCCGTTTTTATAATTGCAGTGACGCTTACAGAGTATTTATTGAACTCTTCAACATGGCTGCGTTTCTCATTCCTTATGAATACAAACCAAGGGGAAAGACACTTTATAAACAAAACTAATACCAGAATGAATTAAAATGCAGAAACCTCAACAAAGGACAGATATATATATTTTTAAAAAGCATTGACACTTTGTATGGATCACATGTAAAAGCTACATAGTGGATCGATAAATAATGATAGTTTATCTAAGGTGTACGATTATATATATATATATATATATATATATATATATAAATGTAACTCTCGATGACTCGAAGTTCTCGATCTCTCGAAGTGAACCTCCGGTCCCGCTTTTTAGTCCCCTGCCGTTGAAACCGGAGGGAAATAATTATAGGTTTCCTCTGAGTCTGTCCGTCTGTCTGTCTGTCTGTCTGCCTGTCCCTTTGTCTGTCTGTCAGTCTGTTCCACTTGGTTTTCCACACTTTTTTTTCTAAACGCTTGCAGATATTGACCTGATTTTTGGTATGTGAGTGTATCTTGATGAGTTACAGATCAACTTTGCATTTCGTTCCACTTCAGTGATTTTTGACGAAATTACGACCTTTTCAATTTTTCAGGGTTTTCCGAATTTTTTCTAAACGCTTGCAGATATTGAGCTGATTTTTGATATGTGACTTTACCTTGATAAGATATAGATCAAGTTTGCATTCTGCTCCGCTTCATTGATATTTGACGGAATTATGGCATTTTCAATTTTAAATGGGAACCAGATTACACTTGCCGGTAGGGGACTAGTATTGCTAATGCAATACTCTCTAGAATGCTTGTTTCCTCTATATAACTAAGCAAATTTACTCCTGATCTCTCGAACTCCTGATCTCTCGAAGTTCTCTATCTCGAGAACCAAGATCTGGGTTCCGTTACACACATTTCATTGTTTTTTACTCTCTATCTCTCGAAGTTTTGATTGCACATGTATACATGTCAATCAAGCGTAAAATTAATGCAGCTTAGACTTACCTGGATAACAGTGAACGCCTGGGGCTGGGATGGACGTGTTAATTGGGTGTTTGCATAGATAGCACTACACTTGTGAATCGTCCGAGTGTTGATATAATTAATTGGTTAATTGGTAAATTATTAACAAATCGCTTCACTACTTATTTTGACTGGACGAGACGATAATGTTGAGAAAATAATTTAGGGACGTGTCAGTAATTTTCCATAGATTATGAACTTTAATATTATTATAGTCTACACAATCCCAGTTTGGCAAACATTGCACAAGAAATCCTATCTCAAGAACTGAATACCGATTACGAGCAATCTTGTGAAGGACCGATCAAGCCCGGGGGAGAGCAAATTAGACAATTGCTATCCAGGTTTCATTTAATCATGAAATGAGAACAAATAAATATTGAAACTTAAAATAATCATTTTACTTATTCAAAATACGATCGTTGTTTTTGAAATCAAGTAAATTACCAGTAAAATACGGAAGAAAACGTGTAACGACGTTATCAAGATATACTTCCGGTATGTATAATAGTAGAACAATGATGATCGGATCTGAAATTTCCGGATTTTATTCACTTTCTATCTCTCGAACCCCCCGATCTTACGGTTCCTTGAACTTCGAGAGATCGAGAGTCACCTGTATATATATATATATATATATATATATATATATATATATATATATATATATATATATATATATATATATATATATATATATATATATATATATATATATATATATATATATATATAGTTCAAGGAGAGAAGGAGAGATAACCCAAATAATTATCAATGTATGTTATAACTCCAATAATTATCATTGAATATTAATTAAAGAATATTTTAAATTACATTTCATTTAGTTACTTTTTTTCCTATTTCATGGTTTGAATTAATTTCACCTTTTATATTAAAGACTTAAGTGAATGTACACTGAAAATAGCAAATCCCTCATAGATTACCTAAAGGTGTTTCGCCAATGATTGCTCTAGATTGAATAAATACGACTGCACAATATATTAATGTACTGGTCTAAGCTGACAAAGCAGGTAAAACATTGTCTTTATTTGTAAGGCTCATTATTTTAATTGTATTTTAACTAGGAACTAGAATTTATTTCTGCAGGTAGAAACAACTTATACCAATAGCCCCCTTTCTGAGGAGGAAATTCTTCAAAATCATGTCTGTTTTAAATTTTTTTAAGATTCCAAACAATCTAAATGTTTGAATATTTTTAATATTCCAATCAACCAATTTGAATTACCATATCTATATTGGATTCCGAAACTTCATAAATTCATAAAAATCCTTACAAACAAAGATACATAGCGGGTTCCAGTAAATGTTCAACCAAGCCTCTTTCTTTACTCCTCACTAAGATATTAGCAGTAGTGAAGGAGAAACTTCAAGAGTACTTTGCAACAATATATTCGAGAAGTGGTGTAAATCAGATTTGGATACTTAAAAAGTCCAAGGAACTTTTGGAAAATTTGAAATCACAAGAATTTATCAAAATCAACAGCTTAAAAACTTACGACTTTTCAACTTAATACACAACCATTCCCCACGATAAATTAAAATCCAGGCCTTTTGATATCACTGACAGCTGCTTTTTCAATAAAAATGGAACTCGTAAATTTACTTACCTTGTCATTGCAAAATTATTTTGTTAAAAAACATTCTGATTGTACACACAAGTACTCTGAAGTTGACATTAAAATGATGCTTGAGTTTCTGATTGACAATATCTATGTGCAGTGGTTTTTGGAGACCATGTCTTCCAACAATCTATTGGAATTCTCTTGGGTACCAATTGCGCCCCGTTATTAGCAGACCTTTTTATGTATTCATATGAAGCAAAAATTCGTCCAAAATCTTAAACGTGAAAAGAAGAAACAACTTGCTGTGGCCTTCAACTCGACATTTAGATATTTCGACGACATGTTGTCAATTATCAATGGTTATTTCCATTCTATATAACCCGGTAAGCTTGAGATATAAGATACCAGAGAGTCTGACACATCTATTTCATACTTTTTACTTGAAAAAGACCTTAATGGTAATCTAACAACCAAGCTTTATGATAAACGCGATGACATTACCTTTCAATCGTCAACTTCCCTTACTTATGCGGCAATATACCTTTGATACGCAAGAGCATGCTCTACGTATGTATAATTTCTAAAGCGAGGTAAGTTATTGACAAACAAGTTGATGAAACAAAAATATCAGCAGTGTCGTTAAAAGTGTCATCATTTCGTGAGTTCTATGGTCGATACAATGACCTTGTCAGCAAATACGATTTATCATTGAGTCAAATGCTGACTGACGTTTTTCATACTAAGTGTTAGGCCATTATTTACACACTGAATTGTCGACGGATTTTTCCGTTATTTCCCGATCATGACAAGGAGCACAAGGCGGGTGTGACCGGTCGGTAGGGGATGCTCACTCCTCAATGGCACCTGATCCCACCTCTGATGTTTTGGAGGTCCGTATTTGCTCTGCTCCTTTTTTGCATTGTTTAATGGCCTTTTGAGCTTGAATACCGTTCGTTATCTCCATATATTTCATTGTTTTTAATTACCATACTTATCCTGGATTTTAAAACTGCCAAAAATCTTTACAAAGATACATATCGGGTTCCTGTAAATGTTCTACTAGATGTCTAACATTCATAAAAATCCTTACAAAGAATGATACATAACGGGTTCTATTCACCCAAGACTAACTCCTTTCCTTGAAGTCTAATGAAGGGAAGACACCTCTAAAAAATTGCAAAATCATTAAAAAATCTGTTTTATAACCCCTTTTCTTGATGTCAAATTTGAAATCACTTGATATTTTTATCACAACATGCTTTTAGACAGAATCAAGTCAAAATACAGAGACGATTCCTGTTTGATGCATGTTTACTGCGTAGAGTGAAATATGGAGAAAACGAACAGTATTCAAGCTCAAAGTCCTTTAAAACAATACAAATCGGAAGCAGAGCAAACAGGAACCTCCAAAAACATCAAGGGTGGAGTTAAGTGCCATGGAGAAGTGAGTATCCCCTGCCGACCGGTCACATTCGCCGTGTGCTCCTTGTCATGATCGGGAAATAACGGAAAAATCCATCGACAATTCAGTGTGTAAATGATGGCCTAACAATAGGTATTAAAAAAACGTCAGTCAGCATATGACTTTTAAAATGATAGATTTTATTTGCTGACGTCATTGTATCGGCCATAGAACTTACAAAATGATGACTTTAAATGAGACTGTTGAAATTCTTGTTTAATCAACTTTTGTCAATACATGTAACTTGCCTCGTTTTAGAAATTGTTCATACGTAGAGCATGCTCTTGCGTATCAAATCAACTTGGAGATGTACATCACATATTTAGGTGATAAGGGTATATTGCTGCATAAGTTAGGGATGTTGACGATTGAAAAGTTAAAGTCATCACGTTTATCATAAAGGTTTGTTGTTAGATTACCATTAATGTCTTTCTCTAATAAAATATCCAGATATAAAACAGATGTGTTAGACTCTGTGCTATCTTTCATTTCAAGCTCACTGGGATATATCGTGTCAACATATGAATGGAGATAACTATTGTTAATTGATAATGCGTCGTCGATATATCTGAACGTCGAGTTGAAGTTTCATTTTTATTGAAAAAGAATCTGTCAATGGTGTCAAAAAGCCTCGACTTTAATTTATCGTGGGGAATGATTGTATACAGAGTAGAATTATCGTAAGTTTTTAGGTTTGATTTGGTAAAATTGTGTGATTTCAAATTTTCCACATTTTTTTTTTATTTTGGGATTTTCAAGTATCTACATCTGATTTACACCACTTCTCGAATATATTGTTGCACAGTATTCCTGAAGTTTCTCCTTCACTACTGTGAATATTTTAGTGAAGATTAAAAAAAGAGGCTTGGCAGAACATTTACTAGAACCCGCTATGTATAGTTGTTTGTGAGGATTTTTCTGAAGTTTCAGAATCCAATATAGATATGGTAAATCAAATTCACGTTGGTCGTTGAGAATATTAAAAATATTGAAAACTGACATATGATTTTGAAGAATTTCCTCCTTAGAAAGGGAGCTATGGGTATAAGGTGGATTCCCACTTGTAGAATTAAATAGCAGCACATTCGATATGCTGTTATGTATTTGATTATGTGGCCAAGTTTAAGCCAATTTGAGAACTAGGAATAACAGAGAAAAATAACATAAAAAATGATAAGTTTACCTCGAAATGATTTCTGTAATTTTATACATTTAAGACATTTTCAAAATTTTATAGGCAGCCATGAAGTTGGCCTGGAGCGTGAAAATATTTTTAATCTTGTAATTAACATTCATTAACCCCCATTATGTTATTGTTAATTAAATTTGTGAATGAATAGCAATGTGCTTTAATTTATGATAAACGAAGTAGCTGGTGCCATAAATAACTATGAGAAAGTCGTGAGCATTCTTGACATTTCTGATGTAATACACTTTCAAAGTTGTACACAATGAATTTAAGTAGTTAGTAGTCGTGATAATACCCATTTTCCATATAGTTTAACTGATATTCTGTCTACACGATATTACTCTTGACACATGAATCATTTTCCCCTTTCTTTAAGGGCGGTAAGTTCCTTTGATTTTTCATCAACCACGAAAGACAAAGAACATCTAGGTAGTAGATTCCATCGAATATTTTAATTGTGTGATTTTTCCATTGCTGCAAACATTTTAAAATTTAAACAATTGAATAAATTTATTACATACTTAGTAATAAATGCAGTTTGTCTTTTTTGCGTATGCGATATGCCTTACGTCATAATAGCCGTATCAGCCCTACAGGGCTAATACGGATCTGCAGGGCTGGTACAGATTTAAATCACACCCCTAGTAGACAAAACGTAAAAAAAAATACTTATGATAATACGCCCATTTTTTGTTCACATTCTCTTAATTTTTAATCACTTTTCTATTATATTATAAGCTACATGTCATTAGTCAGTGCATGATTAATTATATGTTTTTGAGCTGTTTTTTTTATTACCAAGTAAGTAATAAACATAATAAACATATCCTTTTCCACATCACATCCTGTATCAGCCCTCGGGCCTTCGGACCTCTGGCTGATATTGGTATCTCGGGCTGATACAGGATGTGAAATGGAAAAGGGTATATATTATTCAATATATAGCAAAGCTGTAAAAAAAAAATCAATGGCCTTTATCGTAAATGTTTATATTTTAAGTAGGGGCCATATCAAGTATATTTTTAAATTCTTGTCGACATCAAGTTTAGTTGATAATTCTTGGTCAAATGCTCCAGCTCGTATTCATCAGCGGCCAAATTTCCTATGTTGTTTTAGAAGAGGAAAAACAAACATATTTCCGTCCTAATAAGAAAAAAATTCTTTTATTAAAACATACCTCTCCATCCCAAATATATATTACTTTTATCACGTTTTCGTATATAAAAATGTGGAATTGATTCAAGGCCCTGACTTACCTTCAGAAAACAATAAACAACATAATCAAACTGAATTTATTTCAATTGCGGACTCAAAAGTAATGTTCATGCAATCACGATTTCATTATCTCATTATTGAGTGTCCTTGGCCTTTAAAATTCATCTCATTTAAAAAAAAACATACTGAAG